CGAACCGTGGATTTTGTGAATCGTTCCACCCCTAATATATATATTTATATATTGTTTCTGGTTGAGTTTCTTGGATTGTTTCTATTTAGGGGAACAAATAAATCACTAAATGGCCTTTGTAACTCTTCTCCTATTATGTCACCTATTATTCTGTATGTTTCGCTAATAAGTATATTCAAGGTTACTTTTCCACCAAGGAAGTACCTGCTGAGCCTTGATACAGCCTTTTCTTTGGCGAGTATTTCACATGAGATACACCCGATTTCCCTTCAAGGTCTTTACCCGTCTGTAGCAAGTCAGGTCCTCTGATTCTCCAGCAGATCCGGTAATTTCTTGTGTAAAGCATTTGCCGAAAAATTCTCATAGTACAACAGGCTGTGATCAGGCAAGCTGTTCCTTTTCAGTTTAACAGATCTGTTTCAGTCGGTGTTAATCCTCTTCATTACAGAAAAATTGCACAAAGTTTGTTGGTTGTGTTTTGAGTTTAGTGATCAGATAGATATGAGGTAGATATTTTTTAATGCCATTTGTCATTTTCTGTAGTTCAGTTTGCTGGAGCAGAAGCTTATCTATAACTGAAAAGAAGTGATTAGAAAAGCTCATCATGGATGCCCCCAGGACTCAGTGCAGGATGTCAGGGTCAAAAGACCTCCTGCAAAAAGAAAATCAGTTTTGGACAATTTTCCCACCCCATGTATTAATGTTATATAGAACGGAGAAGCTCAGTCAGTGACAGGCGTCTGCATGTTCTCTGATCCTTCCTTTCAGCAGCTGTTAGACTTCATAAGCGTCACTGCTCCCAACAAACCTGATGGGTTCACATCACTGCGGTTTTTACATAGTTTTTTACATTCTTATAATTAGTTTGTTGATGTTTATACGATTAATTCGCATGGATGCATTTTGTAAATGACTTCTTTAATCAAGATGTGCTGTTCTTAAAAACTGCATATCATGTTTTTTAAATATTGTAAATCTGTCCTTTCCATATTTCTGTTTTTATGTCTTTTACTTTGCTAGAGTATATCTGTATTTCCCCTTCTGGGACGGTAATCGGATATAAGGGCTGCAACTAACAGCACATTTGCTAATCTTTTGATTCTTTTTCACCAAATAAATGACTAATCATAGCAATCGGTGCTTATTAAAAGATGTTTTGCTGAATCTGAACTATTTGAAAATGAAATAAAGCCACTGAGGAGTCTTTCATCTTACATAAATAAAAATGTATGTAATAATTGTAAGGTTTTGGCTTAATTATTTGCTTTAAACTGGCTAAGTTTTTTCAATATGTATTCTCAAGTTAACAATTATTTAATGACAATTAGTTGATGGTTATTTCAATAGTTGATAAACCAATTAGTTGTTTACTATCTATCTGTTCTATTATAATCGTTGACCTAAAATGAAAAAAAAAAAAAAAAAGATTTCTGTTTGTAATTGGACCTGTCCTTCGAAAAGAAATTTGAATAAAAGGTAAAAGGATCAGAAGGTTGAATCCCAAAGAAAGCTGTAAATCTGTGTCGGCCTTTAAACCCTGACTGGTGCAGCTTTAACCGCCGCAGGTCTTTGACTCACAGCGGCTGACTGTCAATAAAAATGTCATGTCATGCCACCTACTGGAGCCGGATATTCATCAGCAGCTGTGTACTTCTGTGCCGCAATGCAAAAAAAAAAATCAAATGATGACTCTAAAAAGTTTTGTTATCATTAGTTTCTATAGATAAGTGACTTTATTGAATCACCTCTGGTCTACTTAAAATGTTCATTTACAAACCTAATTTGTGCAGCGTCAAAGAAAACAATGAAGCTTTATGGTTTTGTTGTGTGTCCTTCTTTCAGTCTACCTGTTAAACGCATTCTCAACAAGCCCCAGATTTTCCGCAGCGACCTTCGCACCGATGTAAACGCCGGCCAGTTGCGGGCTGGACGGTCACTACAAACTAAAGTGCAGAGGAGCAGACACAAGAATTTCTACGATACAAACCATCAGATTAAGGTGAGATAAAATCGCTAACAACCAGGATTGAATCCATCAGTATTTTGACATTTCCAGTACATCCCATTCTAATACTTTTCTGATACCAGAGCTCTGTTTGCTTTAATGTTAGCATCATTACCGAGGCTGTCATAAACCCTCTTTCGTCAAGCAAGTTTAATTTGTATTTATTTACACCTGCGGATCACAAAAGGCAACTTGAACTTATGAGGTCAGAAGAAGAAGTTAGAAAAACAGTCAATTATGTGAATGGAGACATTTCCATCCTGAAGAAAAATCTCTAACTGTAAGGGTTCACATTTTTTGCTTTATTTTTTGCGTTTACTAGGCGTTCCCTCTCAGGAGCAGGTACAGGGTTGTGCATGAGCAATTTCTTTAAATGGAGAGGGCTGGTCTGTTAAAAAATTCAGGAAAAACCTCCACAATACCTTTAAAGCAAAGGCACATCCAATAGCTGCAGGACAGCAGCCATTGAGGACTGGAGTTTAACACCCGGTGGAGACTTTTTAAAGGAACTCAGGAGAAATGTTGTTTACATGGACATGTCTTTAGATTTAAAGGTCCTCATATCTTCCTGTCTCTTGATGTGATCCGAACTACACAAGACATATTGTCTAATTTTATAGTCTTTTCTGTTACAGTAACCTTTGTAAATTTGACGAATCATCTCAGAGGACTAGCTACAGTTTTCATGCATTTTCTGAGCCACTTGGTTTGCTTCATGTTGGCCATGTGGCTTTTTGGATACAAGTCCTCCATGCGGATAGCTTCTGGTCAGACCTCTCTGGCCTGGTCTTGTGCAGCCAGATTTTATTTCCATCGGTTATTAGCTGTTCCCACTGCTGTATATCTTCCGATTCCTCAGGGAAATGAGCGTAATGGGTTTTTATCTGCTGCATTAAGTTTCCTTGGCCAACTACTGCATCTGCAATCCTCCAGCCTCTTTGCGCCTTTGAAGCATGTAAACCCCCCCCCCAAAAAATGTTGGTCAGGAAGAGACCTTTCTCATCCAGTATAATTTACCTTGTGGTATTTGATCTGGTATGCAGTAGAGTTTCCCTATTGCTCACTCATTTGTAAACATCTCACAAGGCTGTTTCATTCTCTCCACATAACTGTGAAATTAATGATCATTAGCAGCTGTGTGTTATAAACAGCTGATTTATGAACCCGACTACAAAATTCATGGAAAAAATCTACATGTACTGTAAAGTAAATGGTTTAAAAGTGTAGAAAACATAAAACACAGATTTAAATTCGATTTTCTTCCCTTTTTGCTCATTTCGCAATTTTTATGTTAATTTTTTTGCCATGCATATAAACATTAAGTTATTTATAAAACAACCTATGTAGACTTTAATGGTCACATCAAATTTAATTCCAAATTTGGTATTTGGAGCCCTATAGGTTCTCCACATGCAGGTACTTCCTACAAATAGCTCCCTCTGATGTTTTTTATTACGATTCTCTCATGTCGTCTCTCCTACAGGTCAAGCCTGATCTAAACACAACACTCCCTGTGCGACAGACTGCTTCCATCTTTAAACAGCCAGTCACTAAGATAACTAATCATCCAAACAACAAGGTGAAAACAGACCCTCAGAAAGCCGTGGACCAACCAAAACAAGTAAGTAACAGGCTGGAGAAAGAAACGTGACATTTTTTCACGTTTCCCTGAATAAGGAATGTATTATTTGGATCTAAAGTCTAACATCTGCCGCTCTGGTTAGCTGTTCTGGGAGAGGAAGCTGAGCGGGTTAAATGCATTCGACATAGCAGAGGAGCTGGTGAAAACTATGGACCTTCCGAAAGGCTTGCAGGGTGAGGACAGCTAACATACCTAGGAGGTGTATTTTTAAAAGAGCTTGTTTTTGTAACTTGACCTGAGGTAGCTTTGTGTGTTCCTCCCCAGGTGTCGGCCCAGTGTGTTCTGACAAAACACTGCTGTCTGCCATCGCCAGTGCCCTGCACACAAGCCCAGCACCCATCACTGGCCAGCTAACTGCTGCAGTGGAGAAAAACCCTGGAGTCTGGCTAAATACAACACAGCCGCTCTGCAAAGCGTTTGTGGTGACCGACGATGACATCAGGTAGGACCAATTGGTGTTAAAAGAACCGAGAAAAGGCTTGAACTCTTTGTTTCTAGCTCTCTCTCAGACAACATTTGCTTTGGAAGTTTTAAAATTACGATTAATTGGACAATGGATATTTTTCAACTTTAAAAAAAGGCTCCTTTCCATCCAAATGTTTCCAGTAGTGGATCTGTTCATTTTCTGTGTTTCCAGCCATGTTACTCTGTGCTGATGAACTACATTTACCTGCTTAGGTTGCTTCAATTTCTAACTAGTTTCTGCTTGAATTGTTGCCGTCAGTCTTTGTAGTGTTTAATAAAGACAGAGTAGTGTTGGAGTACCAGTGTGGAGGCTTAGTATCCAGCTGAATTGTTGCGCTGTAGGGAAACAAATCTTAAGTTGGGTCAGAAGATGACATAACAGACTAACCGGACTATTAGTATTACCATGTTTATGGTTAAACCCATAACTAAAGGGTTACACCTTCCAGCCAGTGTTGTTTTCATCAAAGATGACTATGACAATATTATTTCATAGACTCTCCTTTTTTTCATGACGATAACGAAAACTGCTGAGCTAAACGTGGATCTTTGATGACGAAAATGTCTTCGCTCTCAGCAGTATGTCTCTTCCTGCTCTCGTGACTTAATAAACTATATAGCGCCGATCATCCTCTGCCAAGCGTTTAAAAAATCCTTTTGTCTAACTATAAAGATTTTATTTCTTCCAACTCACAAGAGGTGATACTAAACCTTCTTTAATCTCTACCAAAAGGAATCCCTAAATGATATCCAAAGCAAATATTTCACTGCATGCAGTTCATTTTTGGATAAAGACCCAGATTGTTTTTTGGAGTAATGAAGATTGTATTGATCTGTGTGTAATGCATAATTCATAGTAGATCCAGAAGTGTTTGCTTTTTAATGGAAACCTTGTATGTCTAAAACCATTCCTTTATTGTACATTTTGTTAGCTTGTCTGTCGGATACAATAACCAATATGATGTGTTGAACTAGATCTGCTATTTTCAGAGTTTTTGTGAGACACTTTAGTATAAATTAGAGCATTTATTCATAAAGATTTTTTGAATTCTATGAAGTTTTCTGCCCAACAGTAATGATGAACTGCATGGCAGCTTTCTATACCCAGCAATTGTAGTATCTAGGGTTGTTATTTGAAATTGTAAAGGTTAGATGTCTTATGAATTTCAACATAAAACTGACTAAAACCTTATATAGTAATAACTTAAACGTGACTAAAACTAATAATAGATTTCATCCTGAAGACTAAATCTAAGATGGCTGTCAAAAACAAAGCTGCGTCCAGCATGTTTACTACTTAATTGTAACATGAGCATTACGTATGATTTTTAATTCTTAAAAATCAGGGTGTCCGTGTTTAAAAATGAACAAACTTATTCAGGGTTGCAGATCTTAGGAGCCTTTGCTCAGGAACAAAGTATCAGACGGCGCTGGTGTACCTCCCATGTACAGCAGCTAATAACTCAGGCTAATGAAAACAATTATCATATTAGTAACCAAAATAACATATTAAAAAATTAGGTTTGTACAATAAAAAACAAAGTTCATTTAAGAAGTGGAGAAAGCTTTTCTCCAATCTATCCCTTGTTGCCACCCTCTTGCAGTTTTCCCATTATGCTTCACACCTGTAAACTGCAACAACAGTCGGGTGCAGCGCTGCCAACGTTAATATAACAATGCATTTTACTTTTAATGTCTGTCATTTCTTTAAACTTGCGATTAAGATTCCCCTGTATTAGTTGGAATTGGTCTGCTCTGTATCTTTTTTTAAAAGTCTGGTAGACAGGTCCACTCTCTGCGCCTCCTGTCCACCTATAATAATCAGAGCACTCTGACCAGCTGTGCAACGTGAAGATGGGCCGCTGGTCTGAGAAAAACAGGATGACTCGTTGGATTTTCTAACTGTTAAAAAAAAAAGAAAAAGAAAAAAACAACAAAAAAAATTACAGAAACAAAAAATACATGAGAAATTATTTTATTTTATCCTCATTTCTCAATTAATAAATGATTTACTCTGAGCAGCAGCATTAAAATGTGCCTATTTAAAATGCTATGTAGAAGCTTCACAGACTTAGTGGATATTTTCTTTTGAGAAGCTCATGCTGAATCTTCCTCAGGAAAACAGAACGTCTTGTGATCACATGTTTCTGTATATTTAGAATTGCTTGTTTCCTAAAAACTTAAAGTGTAAATATAGAACGTTATGAGCATGGCTGCCAAACACCAGTGAGCAGAGTACAGACAAATAACTAATTAAGATCACAAAGAATATAAAACATAAACATTTGCATGTTTAAGATTATTGTGTCGTAAAAAATGAAAAGATGACTTGAAATAATTTGAAAGGCAAATATTGGCTGTTGTATCCCAAAGTAAATTCCAGCCATAGATTATAGTAATTGAAATACTGAAATAAATGAGAGAAAACATAAATAAATGCAGACTGCCTTGGTACAGCTAACCCGATTTTAGACTGCCTCTGGTCATTAACGCTTCTTAGACTCAGCTGGGTCAGCTTTGAGGGCAACCAAACACTTGGAGCATTTAGCATGTAGAAAATTGGCTGTACTATATAATTTCATTTGTAACAACCCACCAAACCTCAGGCATCTTTTTGAAGACCTCTGAAGTCTCTTAATTGGTTCTGTTCTGGTGCTCTTTAAGCCCGACTCAAACAATGTGCATTACAGGGGGAAACAAGCTGCAAGGGAGACCCTACACTGATTCCTGGTCTTTGCCTTAAGTCTGCAGCTACTCTGTCCTTCCACAAATCACTGCAAGCGATTAAGGAGGTGCCTGAGTGATAAGGGCTATCAGTTTCCCTCAGAAAAAAAACAGTTCTTAGAAATCCTTTATCTGATATTTCATTTTCAAATGCTCCACTCAAAAGGAGGATTTCTTTCATTTTCTAGATTAACATCAAAGGTTTAAGTTAAGACTTTAAATAATGGCGCATCAATTCTCTGCAAACTGTACCGTTTGATATATAGCATATGATTAATTCAAATGCTCTGCTCTACAAATCTTGTGTCTTGGAAGGAAAACTGCTATAAACAGAGATGCCAAAAGTGAGTTCTTGAGAACAAAGTTGTGTCACTACACCTTTGTTAACATTGTATTTCCAGCCATGCTAAGCACTTTAATACTAGAGTCACATTTTTGTCATTTCCAGCTCCGCTCTACCACATTTCCATGTTAAGAAGCATTTTTTCCCTCAACCTTAATAGTTTTTAATTAATTTCATGGATTTTTAATTAGACTTTATGGCTGAACTTTGACTGGTCCCTTCCATTGTAGCTCTTGTTTTATGTTTATGCCTTTTTTCTATCCTGTAGATAAACTGCTACTCCAATAAAAGCCTTTTAGATCTTCAGTATTGCCCCGTGTTAAGCTCTCTTTATCCCTATCAATTGATTCAATTCCCTTTCTCTAGAAAAACGTTCTCAAATCATCATGCTGCCACCGCACTGTTTATCTGTGGACATGGTGCATTCAGATATGCAGTGATTGGTTCATATTTATAGACTGTATGGCTAATAATTGTCACTGAGCTGTGGATCTCTACATGATTTTGATCTACTGTGGGCCTCTGCTATGGGCATATGTTAAAACCAAACAAAACACAAATGCAAGTAAATTTTTTTCAGATTTTTATTTGCTCCTGAAATGTGCTTAATAAATAAACTTGCCTTGAAGATTTTTGAAAGCATGTTTATTTTCCCCTCCCTTCTTAGTTTCATGCTAAGCAGGTGGAACAGGGTCAGCTTCTCTAAACCTAAGGCCATGGTTCTAGTGCTTTATGCTGGGAGTCTGGGATCCCTGCAGACTGATAGATCGACTGGGGCTGTGTCTGCAGTAATGATGCTAATACTTTTGGCCTGTCAAGCTTTTATGGATGGTTGAATGGCTATTGTGTGGTAGATTAGGACATGTTTATATTATATCCATTTTAATGACAGCATTGTAAGAAAATGATGTGTAAATTGTGGCGTTATATGTTAAACGACATTGATTGCGTTTATTTGTGCGTCTCAGGAGGCAGGAGGACCTGGTGCAGAACGTACGGAGACGGCTGGAGGAGGCACTGATGGCTGACTCTCTTGCTCATCTAGAGGATGCTGCTGCAGATGCAGTAGTTGACAAAGAGGAGAAGAAGGCTGAACCGCTGGAGAAGGATGAGTTATAGCCAAGGTAGATAGAAACACAGCATGAGTGGCAGAAATCCTTTCATTCATCAGAGAAGGGTTTACAGAGATATAAACTATTATACATTCCTGATTTATGTTCTCATCTTTCCTCAGGTTTGCTGTTAAACTCCATATACTAAAAAAACTCCATTTTGAATAGTATGCAGGAAAAAGAAAAACAATGAAATCTTTCATTTTTCCTAACCTAAACAAAGACTTGTCATCTTTATGCTCTATAGTTTTTACACTTGGTAGTGTAATCCTCTAAGGGTGCTTCTTTTTGTTATGTTTGTTTTACCTCTACTAATGTAAGGCAGCTGTGGATGGTGCTCAATACAATGCAGTATTACATTTAGTTTCCAGCTGTTTAACCTCAGTGTTGAAGTTACAAACCTCACATATGTGAATTTCTATGTTATAACGTTTGTCTGTTCAGCAAAAGCTGTATATTTTTAACTACCCCCAGATTGTCTTGCTTTTACATTTTACTGATACTGCAGGTTGGTTGTTTTATGGTGTGTTTCTGAAAGCATTGATGAGCAGCAGTATTTTTTTTTTTTTTTTTTTTTTGTATGAAACACAGCACTCATGGCTGTAAATAAACTGTCTTCAAGTTTTACGGTCAGTTCTTCTCATAATTCATTTGAATTTACTAAACCGGAGTCATTGTATTTGCATTGTCAGATATGTTTTGTTCTTTTGCCAACAACATTAAAGTTCGGAGATTCATTAGAGATCTGAACAGGTATCTGAAACTGTACAACGCTGATGTACTGTACGTTGTTACTTTACTTTGTGGAATAAATGCAGCTTCTTTTGAACAAATCTGTTTATCTTCACTGTGTAAAGATTAATGAGTACAATTAGCTGTATTGAACTGTCAAGACTTTGATTGTTTGTGGGTTTTTTTTTCTAACAAACACATTCTATTGTACGCTTGATTGATACACTCACACAACCGAGGATACAGGTGTAAGAAATATTCAACAGTACTACTTAAATATATGAAACATTAGGGGATCTTAACCAGTTATCTTTAATCCTCTTTCTGCATCTCATCCTGGTTAAGTGGGCTGACCTGCTGTGGGAAAAAAAGGAAATTGAAAGCAGCATCACTTTATTTCACATTGTAGGGGAAAACTCCCTTATCACAACAATATAAAAATGATCTGACAACGTTGACGCTTCGTGAAGCTGGTTCAACAACCAAATTTGATATGTTTAAAGGATATATGTGTAAGAAATTTTTCCACCATTGTGTTTGCAGAAATGGGGACAGTGAAACAAAATTATAAGAATATAAGAATCATTGTTTCTTTGAATGACATGATCTTAAAAATTGGTAAAGAAACAAATACGTAAAATATGTATTTATTCAAGTGTATTATATAAAGGGTCCTTTCAGTATTTTTGTGAATTTTGTAATTTAATCAAAAACGTTCTGGTTCCTCCTGTTATAAAATAAGCCATGAAGCAAACAATACCACTGAGCATGAGCGTCGCTCAGAGATGTTATTGGACCACCCCAAACACCTCATTGGTAGCCATAATGAACACACCCAAATAATGACCATATACTTTTATTGGAATTCAGTTATTTTTCGGATCCATCCGTCCTGCAATAACGCGCTTTAAACCGCTCCTCCAGCAAATTAAGCCTCACTGTCTGAGATTGGGAGCCAGTAGATGCTGCATGTGGCCTCTGAACCCATTGTTGTGTCGCGGCTGACGTCAGTGCCGTGTGTGCGGCAGACGGAGCGGCGTGCGCCTGGCGAGACAAAGGCGGTGGAGCGAGTGGGGTCAGGCGGCAGCAGCAAGAGGAGCAGAGAATCACTGGTTTCTAACTCAAAGGGAACTCCCAGCTTCGGCTTTCAGCCACGCTTCTAACGAGACAGAGAATGAAGACTGAGCGCCGCTGTTAGGACTGTGCTTTGGCCTTCCAGGAAGAAAGAAAAACACCACTGACCCCCTTTTCGCTTTTTAATGTTTTTTTCCTCTTCTCCAACGCCCCCCGTTTAGCTTTGCTAGCTAGCTGTCGCGCTAAGCTCACTGCGCCGCACTCATCTCCTCCTCCTTTCTTGCTGCTTTTCGTCTTTCCCTCGAGGCAGAAACACCAGGCGAAGAAAGGATACCAGCAGTCAGATAAAGTAAGTTTGTGATGTTTTTTTGAATTTAAGAAAAAATACAACAACGCTGCTGCTTTTTCTATTAAACATAAGTTGGTGTGGCAGAGCGGAGCTAACGCAGCTAGCCGCGGTGCTCCCAAACAAAGGGGTCGACAACGTGACTGTGGAGCTAGCTTGTTAGCTCTCCTCTTTAAGCTAAAAACAGCTCCTTTTCATTCTTTACTTTGCTTTTAAACTGTCCTAATACGTATATTTATGAGCGGAGATAAAGGTGGACGTTTTCTGTGTGGATATTTTTAAGAGATGATTGAATTAATTTGTGTTGGGACAAGACAAAACAAGCAGTCTGCTGGATGGGTTCAGTTGTCAGACTTACTGCCACAACAGACAAAGCAAGGCGCTCAAATCAACACTTAATTCATGCTGCTTTTAATGGGTGCTCATCCACAACATGTTTTTAAACTTTTATTAAAAACATGCTTTAATGTTTATCATTTTTTAATTTATCTTTTTTTTTTTTTTTGTTATTTCAGCTGAGGGTGAGATCACTCCTTACAAACGGGCATCCGTGATCTGATGTGAGATCCACGGAAAGACTATGCCTAGCCCTTTATTCCACCCCGAGATAATGGACCACGACGTGGTGATCAGCAGCCAGCACAGTGGCGTGGCTCTGCCCCGGGAGACGGACCAGGAGTCCCGGGATGAGGACCACCAGGAGGTTCTACGCTTCGCGCTGGACCAGCTGTCACTCATGGGCCTGGATAAAGTGGATTGTGGGGGTGGTGGAGGTAACGGGCTGGTGGACACTCTGGACGGGACCCAGGGTCCGAGCTCGGATGGGTGCAATGGTGTAGGTGGAGGGGGCTACGTGGATCTGCAGATGATGGAGCATCCCAGCGGGTCCAGGGACTCGCCCTCGTCCTGCTCTCCTTCCCCAGAGTATTATGGTTCGGGCGGCTACCACATGGCCGGGTCCCACTCCATGCTCCACGGGGAACAAAGCTCCGTCCTCTGCAACAGGAAAAGAAGCGTAAACATGACCGAATGTGTGCCTGTCCCGAGCTCCGAGCATGTGGCTGAAATAGTGGGGAGACAAGGTAAGGGAGCGCGTCTGATGGAGGTGGTTGTGATAATTATGATAATTGCATGTTTGTGTTTATGTTGGAGCGTGGTTGCTCTTTGTTTGGGTGGTTGTCTGGTGGGAGGAGGGCTCCCCGGACTTAAAACTTTATGAGGATAAAGCATGCTTCTCTGATCACGTTGTTTTGATTATTTTTTTTAAAAGGAGCACAGAGTGGAATCTAGATAAGAAATGTAAACATCTTCTTATTTACCGCCTTAATTTTCTTAATAATCAGACAATACTCTGACAGAGAGTGGGTGAGCGAGGGTGGCTGATGAGGATAGAGGGGGAGGGGTGGAAGAGGGTCAGACAAAGCAGCAGATTGTCGGGAGTCTGGACGTGTCTAGAAGGCTGCACCAAACAAAGAAAACCCAGCAAAAGCCTGCTCCGGGTCTGCATGGCGCATAGAAAGTGTCCGCTTGGACTCCTTACATTGCATCTCTCATGTAAAAACGCGTCAAAGTCTCTTGTTATCGCGATTTCTGAGAGGATTGGAAGCTAAAAACAGGGGCAAGCAGGCGCACAAACACGGGACTGGGCGGTGTAAACGCCCTGCACCCAGCGCTGTCTGTCGATGCTGCCGATCGCCTGGAAACCGATCGCTTTCACACAAACGGGTCCTTCCTGTCACTATATATCATTTTAACATATTAACTTAATTAAGGATGTAGGTGTGTTTCAGGGTTTGATATTTTCACCGCAGCCGCGCTAACGTTACGGCATTGTTCCCTTTGTTTGAAAAAGCCATGCTTTCTGCTTCCCAGGATGACATCACGCTCCGCGCGCCCCATTGGTCGCCGGCAGTGAAGAGCTGGCATTTAAAGAGACAGTGCCGCCTCCTGGCTTCTAGGCCAACATAACATAACACTGCACGGCCAGACTGCAGTTACCCACTTTAGGTTTTACTTTGCCTCGTTTATACCCGGAATACCTGCTGCCTGGTTTGTCCTCGTTTTCAGTGATGGCTGACCACGATTAGACAACACCGGATATAAACAAGGCGGCAGCAGGGTGCGCTGATTGAAGTTAATTATCCAATCAAACGCTTAGAAGTCTGCATTTTCCACATAATGGAAACGTGTAGGTGTTTGTGTAAAACATTTGCAGTGATTTAAATTAATGCAATGGTTGCAGGATAACGTTAAATTCATGTTATTAGCGTCATGTTGGGCTCTTTGTGTTTGTTTTTTTTACTACTTTTACAATTGTTGACTTAATGCATCTTAACCCTTTGCAGGGAATATTCTCAGGACAGATTTCCTATTAAACAGTATATTATGATACAGTTTTAGTTATGAACCTGTATAAAAGTCATAGCATAGTTAAAAAAAATAAATAAAAAATGTATCTCTAGAACAGGATTTCTTTACCTTAATTTAAAACTAATAAGATGCATATTAAAATCAATTACCTCTGTAATGTATTGATTAGTTATCTATAAAAGCTTTTGTAAGTGATTTCAAGGAAAAGCAAAAGAAAAACAGACCAAATATATTATGACATAATATGTCATAATATATTTGGTCTGTTTTTCTTTTGCTGATACGGTTTTTATCACATTTCCATAATATGGAAATGTGATAAAAACCGTATCAGCTTTTCTTCTAAAGGGAAAACAATGGAAAAAATAAATTGATATTTGATGGACTGTTTGAGGGGTTGTAATTTTTTTTTTTGGGGGGTGGGGTTTCGTCTTTCAATCGGACTACAAAAGCAGTGTGCAGGTGGGGGGGAGGACTGCATTAAGCTATCACTCCACATTGTCATGGTAATTAATAGCTCTAAGCTCTAAAATTGTATTGTAGTTTGAAAGATGCTTATTAATGATTTGGATGTCTTTTCTTTTTAACCGCCTCCCTTCCATTAGTCTTTTTTTTCCCCAGCTCTACTTTATGTCTATTTTGTTTGTTTTGTTCAATCTTTTGTCTCTGAAGATGTCCTCCATGTATTACAGACAGATGCTCCTGGAATTTCGCGTTTTAGCAGTAGATAATTGGTTGTAAACATGGGATGGATTTGAAGGCTTTACACATGTCTAAAAAAAATGTCAAAATAATTAATATCATTATAACGACTGTTCCACTGAGCTTTCTTTAAGGAAGTGAACATAGAAACTTATGATATTGTGTAAAATTATCCACAGAAAGCCTCCAAATTGTATCCTGTTTTCAGCAAATGCTTTAAACTTGAACTAGCTGCTGTTTTGTTTACAAATTTTAAATTTATATAAGTCTAAAAAGTGTTTGTTTTAAAATGTTATGTGTTGCTCTGACTTTTCAGGCTGTAAGATCAAGGCCCTGCGTGCCAAAACAAACACCTACATAAAGACTCCAGTCAGAGGGGAGGATCCGGTGTTCATCGTGACAGGGCGCCGGGAGGATGTGGAAATGGCCAAGCGTGAAATTGTATCTGCAGCCGAGCATTTCTCTATGATCCGGGCATCTCGCTGCAAAGCCGGAGGGCCAGGAGGAGGTGGCTCTCTGCCCGGCCCACCCCACCTGCCGGGACAGACCACCATACAGGTACAGACACAGTTTGGGGTTTAATAATTAGAAATATCTGAGAATATTATTCGGGTTGTATTAATGTCTGTTTCTGTTGATCCAGGTGAGGGTTCCTTACAGAGTGGTAGGGTTAGTCGTGGGGCCAAAAGGAGCAACCATCAAGCGCATCCAGCAGCAGACTCACACCTACATCGTTACCCCTAGCCGAGAGAAAGACCCCGTCTTTGAGGTGACGGGAATGCCGGAAAACGTAGACCGAGCGAGGGAGGAAATCGAGACCCACATCACCCTCCGAACTGGAACCTTTGTAGACCTACAGGGAGACAACGACTTCCACACCAACGGCACCGACGTCAGCTTAGAAGGCCTGGGCTCCCTGAGCGGAGGACTGGGAGCGTCTCTGTGGTCCAGGGCTACAGGCCACCACTCTGGCCCTCCTCCTCCTCCTCCCTCCCCTCCACCATCTCTTCCCATGTCCATACACCACTCCTCGAGCAGGAAGATGTCCTCCTCGGTTGCCTATCACACGCACAATGGCGGGATGAGCTCAGAGAGCTTCAGCTCCAACAGGAAGCCTAACGAGGGGGGCAGCCCCACCAGTCCTTTCAGCACAGGTTCCAGCAGCGCTGGAGGTGGTTTCACCTTTGGAGGGGACTCGACCCCTGGACTGACTTCCTCCGATGAATTGGGCTTTGAGTTCAGTGCTTCCAACATCTGGGCGCCTTTCGTCAACGGCGGAGCAGGGAATAAGACCTCCGCTTCTTCTCAACAGCAACCTCTACGCCGAAACAGCAGCGGCCTCAGCGGCGGTGCCATCACTCCGCGACTGTCTCCGACTCTGCCTCAGGATACGAGTGTCGGCCCTCTGGATCACCCACTGGCGCGTCGTGCGCAGAGTGACCCCCTCAGCACTCTCTCCTGGCTGCAGTCTGGCAGCACGGGAGGCGGCTCCTTCTCAGGCGCCTCCAGCTCCAGCTCTGGCGGCTCATCGACTGGCTACTCCTCCTGCTCGGCGTCATCCCTGCCCGGCGGTTCGCCCACTGACTCCGAGGGCGGCGGCAGCGGCGTCGGGATCACCTCCGGGATGCTGAGCCGGCTCAAAGGTGGCTCTGGGGTCTCGGCACTGGTCGCCGTCGGCCCGGGGGTCAACAGGGACTGCTTTGTGTGTTTCGAGAGCGAGGTGACAGCGGCCCTCGTGCCTTGCGGCCACAACCTGTTCTGCATGGAATGCGCCGGGCAAATCTGCCAGTCTGCCGAACCCGAATGCCCCGTCTGCCACACTCCGACCACACAGTGCATCCGCATCTTCTCCTAATGCCATGAGCGGGGTCAGATATTTAGGGAAGGTGTGAGAGGCAGCCAGGTACCAGCTGTAGTGGAGGAAATGGAAGGAATCACACTAATAACCTTCACACAGATGATGGACCATATTAAATGCATTAATAAAGATGATGATACTTTAATGGATGTTGATATATTGCTGATAACTGTCAAGATGAATAATATCAATAATAATAATAATAATGACTTATTTTCCAAGGGAAGTGGATTGAAACGTGTCTGCAGACAGTTGGGGCTCAGGCAGTCTCTCAGCAGTGAACTTATGGAAGGAAACTAGTGTCTTATATCTCTTCAGGCCTTCATTTTGACGTGGAGCGCCCCCCCTCCCTCCCCCTCCCACTGCGGGCGGCCCGCCCGCCAGCCCGTCCGTCTCCACGCGTCTTCATTCTGGCTTCTTGAGATCTGCCTGCTTCTCTCTCTCTCACAGCCTTTTTTCCTTTTGACACTTTTGTACTTAACAGATATTTTTCGATAAAACTGTCAATGAGGCCTGCACTTTTCTACTCCTCATTTTAACGCCCCCGAATACCCCAAATTCTCCTCTGTGCTATTTCGCTCCTTCATGCCAATTTTTATTTTTATTTTTTATTCCCTTTTGTGACACAAAGACGAAAAGGTTCTTGGAACATTATTCTATTTTTTTAGGTTTCTTTTGGTCGGCATGTCTGTCAGGCACCTATTGGGAAAACACTACATTTTAGCAGGAACCTTTTCAGGGTGAATTCTCATTGTCGCACGAAATTTAGCCATCCGATAACCAAGCCAAATGATTATTGAGACCTACTCCTTGATTCCGTTTGGTAAACACGTTGGGTAAAACTTGGATGAGTCTTTGCCGCATTATTAGTGTCGCTGTTTGATGATTCTGTAATAAGTGAAGGCGTACCAGTTTTAGCGATGCTGACGGGCCGTGACTGTGGTCAGTTTGTATGTTTGGACTGCCTGACAATCCCTTCACTCCTCTCTCTCTTGCGCGCTTGTGTTGGAGTGATGCCCAGTCGTACCGATGTGTCGTCACCTCGACAGGGCACCATTACCTTCATCCGATCATCTCGTCTGTTACACTTAGATCTGTGCATTTTATTTTTTGTGGGTTCTTTCTCTAGTTTGTTATTGTCTGTGTAGTGAGTGTGTGTGGTTAAGACTTTAGGATGAGACAGGGCTTTGATGTCACATGAGAATGTTTTCTCCAATACGGTTTAGGACAGAAGACTGACAAGGGGGTTGATTTTTAGTTTTCACGCACTGAAATCCCTTTGTTAAAAAAAAAAGAAAACTGAAACGGCTGTTGCTGTTTTTTTATTTCAGTCTTCCACCTCTCTCACAGCAAAGCTGTACGGCACTCAGATGACACTGTTGTACCTATAGATGGATTCAGTCTCCCCCTCTCTAATGGCTGCTCCCCCATTTATTTGGGGCAGAAAGGAAATGAGTAATTTTGAGTGGGAGTAAATGGATCTTCCAGGGAGCTGGGTGTGATAAAAGCAGAAATGGGCATGGCCTGCTCGCATTAGGTATTACATGAAGGAAGTTATTGATTGGTTGGAAAACCTGGTCATGTTCTCATGCTACATGCGAACCCTGCAAATGTAGTTAGTATGCAGGCTTATTTAATGTTCGTTGGCTGTGTACAAGTGGATTATTTGTGCTTCTGTATGTTAAGCATCTCATTAACAGTGACTTCAATGGATATTTAAAGGTATAGTGGAGAATTTTGTGAATTTTTGAAATGTTCCGTCCTCTACAATTTAAACAAAATGCAAATGCACAACCCTGTACCTGCTCCCGAGAGGAAACGATGATTGACAATTAGGAGGACCACTTATTTTGATGATCCACCCAGATAAATGATATCCTCCACTATACCTTTAAGTCTTATGTATGCTGGAATATAGAAACCTGCTGGTTCACCATTATGGCAGATCATTCGATGCACCTAAAGCTGCAGTTTATGCTTGTTTTCTGCTTTTATTTCACTCAACACCCCTAGAAGAGATCCCCCCCTTTAAGGGTTGAGTGCCCAGGTGTGTTAAATCTATCTATACAGCGCTGTACTCTGCAAAATGTAGTGCACTATTTAGTTAGTAGTTAGATTCGTCCTGTGTTTCATAGCATTACTTCAATAAGGCAGGAACGTCCTGTTTTGTGTTTGTGTTTTGTTCTTTTTTTTCCCTTTTGGGGGAAAAAAAAAGCATTGAATGAGTTTGCAGTAACTGCCTCTTTATAAGTGTTAAACGCTGCATTTCTGGTGGCGGAGTCTGTATCGGTGGCCCTCCTTTTTTTTTTTTTTTCTCTCCCTCATAGAATGAGACAAGCCATGATGACTAAAAGTAAAATGAGCATTATTAAGGGCTTCCTCTGACTGCACAGACACATAATCACACATGTTCAGGCTCTCACCGTATAGGAAGAATCAACTTATCCTTTATGGCAGCTAGTAGCTAGGTCATCCAGGGCTTCCAGACACTTCTTGTGTTCCAATCCCAGCAGCTGCAGAATGTTCTTGCTGTTTTCTGTTTTAATCAGTCATCCCTGCACGCTTCATCTCATTCGGGTCCTGCTTGTGTGTAGCCAGAAGTCGGTCACTGATCAGGACAGGTTGCAGGGGGTTTTTACTGATTATATGAACGGTGATTTATCCAAGTTATGATTTTGGTGCTCCGGTTAGTTATCAACTTGAATGCAGTTTGGACTGTTCATTTGCTGCTTTCGGGAAGGTTTGCATTCGCTTTTTATTTTTCTGTAGTATGAGAAAAAAAACCAACCTGGGAGCTGGAATCTGCTCAGTCTTTGCAAAGACGCGTCCATGGTGCTTTTTGGTGCAACTCTCTACTGAGTCTCAGACGAACAAGGCAGTGAGGGAACCAGAACAACCCCTCCTAAAACCCTGGGTGAACCTTAGACCCGACAGCTCCCCCCTCCCGTTCTCGTGTTAAAACCGGCAGCAACCCCCTCCCTTGTTCCCCTCTCCTTTCCTGTCGGATGTGTTGCTGCGTTTTGCGTCTTTAAACAGGGAACAGATGCCGGGCTGTCTGAACGAGCACATCTCTGATGCCTGGTGCGAGTCTGTTGAGGCCCTTTCTTTAAACTGTCCAGGCTGACGTGTTAAAGAAGAAATCGTTGTATTCTACCAGATGGGTTTTTTCTCGTTCACTCTTAGAGGGGTTTTTATTTTGGGCCAACGAGCAAATGTTAGGGTTGATGTACAGTAATTTTAAATGTTAAAAAGGTACAGTTTTTTTCAAATTGACTTTTCTAAATGTTTTTTTTAGATAATTGTATCGCCCTCCCCTAATTCCTTCCTTAAGGTTTGAAAACAGGGTTTCCTGAGGCATGCTAGTCAGTGACCTCTGACCTTTTTTTTTTTTTTCTTTTTTTTTTCTCTCTCTTTGGTGATTAGAGGGGGGATGCTAAGAGAGCTATGCCAGCTAAAGGGGGTAATGACTCCCCTCAAGCCTCCCTGCTCTCTTCTATTTTTGCTTTAATTCTCTTTGTATGCAGAACCAAAATGTTAAAACCGTCAGTGAACTAGGTTTCAGGCCTAACCTGTGTGTAAATACCCTGGATACAATCAACACCTTGTTTTGTTGGGGTTTTTTTCCTTCAAAAGCAAAAAGGACTTAATTGATAAGTGTAGTTTCTAAAGAACATGTATCATTATTTGTAAGTTAACCATCTGCATGTCTTCAAAGCCACCTGGCATTAGCTAATAATTTTTAAGAAGAAAAAAAAAAAAGTTTTTACATGTTTAATTTTTTACGATTTTATTTGCTTCCTAAATATCCCAGACAATAATGTGACCCTTTTTATGACTTCGAAATTTTTATTTTTTAATTTTCCATTTTTTTGTTTTCCTTATTTCCTGTGTACTACATATAGGCAATTTATAACAAAATGAGAAAAATTATTGAAGAAATTTTAAAATTGAAATATATTTTATTTGAAAGTTTATGGACCTTTTAACCGTGAGCCGGAGAAATTGTATAATCGTATAATTTGAGCTGACTTGACGGTTATGAGAAATGTATCAAGAGTTTTATTTTTTATGCTTCTTTAATAAAGTCTTGTTTTTTGGTTTCATTTTTTTACTGTAAAAATACCACCTTGTGCCTCTTGTCCTCATTTATAAAGGGGGGGGCGGGGTGATCTCACCACATGATGGCAGCAGACGCACAGCTGATACCTAAGCTTAAATAATGAAGCACTTTAGAATGGATCAGATGATAGATTTTCCTGTCTTTTAGGGTGTAATTTAACTATTTTAAATTGACAAGTGGCAATTATTTACAGGGGGAGTTTATGGTAAATATTTTCTCTTTATTTGGATGCTTATGGTTTACAGCATAAAATCCAACTTTTTGATTTTTGAGCCTCTATTTAATACAGCTAGGGTTTTTTTTTTCATTGTATCTAACAGCAAATTATGTTTTTATCCATGTTTCTTTGTGGAAAAAAAAGCTCAGCCTGAATGAATATTGACCTGGTTGATGTGATCCAAACCGTTGCATTACATCTCTATGCTAAAGACATATTTCCTGAGGTAGGTGAAACTCTATCCCTGCTCTCAAGTCTCACAGAATCTAACAGATCCTCTTTAATGGTTTAAATTAAATTAATCCTCTTTTTCAATCAATTCAGATAAACTTGACTGATAAAGGCATCCTCACAGAATGATGCTGATTTCTTTCACCAATTAAAGACCTGCTAAAATCTACTTTTCTGACCAGTTTACAACCTGGGATATTCTGCTGCCATCATCCTTTCTATTCATTGTGCTGTCTGCTTAATGATGTTCTCTATCAGGCTTTCACAGAATACCTCAATGACAAAAAAGGTGGACTCTACTAAATGGGCGACTCCCAGAAGGTATTTGTAGCAATTATTTTTAGTTGTTTCAGTGTAAAACGAGGTTAAAAATTAAATGCTTTTCAGGTTTTTCTTAGATGTCTCGATGGGAGATTCTATAAAAGGGAGCCTCAAAGCAGATATTCTGATCCAGTCTGCAAACAACCATTGTAAAATCCTATTAATGTAAAGAGCAGCAGGATTTGGCTCAACTTCTCTGCATTTTTAACTCTATTTTTGAGGCTGTCAGACACCTGATGGGAAAATTTGGATCTTTTTTTTAACTAAGTCAGACCTCTTTTTAATTGCTTTTTTTAAAAGCAGCAATTTGTGATCCAGAAAGATTTCTGATAAAAAAATTTAGCAGTCACTTTTCCTGCCGTTGCATAACTTTTTTTCTGTTAAATAGAGCCTTTTATTTACATTCCTGTATTTATTTTATGGATGTAGCATTTATAAAAAAAAACACACACATTCTCAGGGAGACTTCTTAGTTGTGACACAAAAAAACATCCTTTTAATAGGAAGCAGATCACAATCAGGCTGCATTCCAGCTCCGCTTCGTCCTCATTTAAACAATAACGATAAGAAACAAATTACAAACATTTCAGTAGAAAATAATTCTCTCATGCGAGTTCTGTGTTCACACTACATTCAAATCAAAAACAGAATTTTTTCCTTTTTTTTTTCTTCTAAAAAAAAAAAACAAAAGAAAAGAAAACACACAGATGGCTTATTACATAGCTCTGGAAAAAAAGACCAAGACCTAAAGCAAAAACAAAACGGTCAAATAACACCAAAGAGACACGTGCTGGCACAGTTAAGTTTCCCATCATGCAAGTTTAGTTGAATTTATTCACAGGGTGGGCGTTATTGTTCTCCACAAAGTTGTGTCACCGTGCATGCATGCATGTGTGTCGTCTCACATGTGCCCGTTTTTGTGCTTGAGCAGAAATCGGTGTGCAGGTGTGTGTTGTCAGTGCGCCTGTGCAGTAGACGTCTACATGTCAGCTGAAAAGTTGTTGCTTTTTCAGCTCCAGGCTGAAAAGGAAAGTTTGTTTGGAGCCTCAGGGTCTCACACTACACAAGGCAACAGGGTAACCTGCTTGAGGGTTCACTCCACCAATTTATCACTGCAACTTTTTTTTTTAAAACGTATTCTGTTAAAATTAAAAAAAGTGGTTCATGCTGATGCAGCAGAGCAAAGTATTTTTTTCTGGACATTACTAACAATGTGACAATATTGTCAATTAAGTTTGGTTAATTTTAGAATTAGTGTAAGATGAGGTGAAACTTTACTTCACTGTTCATTATAGGTGAGGTTCTGTTCAAATATACTGGAAGGAGTTACCGAAGGGAATAACTCATAGGTTTTTCTTTTAGTATAGATGGAGGCTAAAGCTAATAAAGGAGCCATCATTAAAGAGTCCTCTCTACTATTAAAAACATTTAGAATAAAAACAAATGGCAGTAAGTTTTTTGAATATGCCTGTAAACTTTTGAATTATCACCACATTTAGACAGAAAGGCTGATTACTCAGAAATACCTGATTTGTTTGGAGGCTGTCATTACCAATGATCTTCCTGAGTGAAATATCAAATAAATGTAAATAATATGGTAATCAATGTAAAAAAACAAAATGACATTACATTATTTTTGCATTTTGTGCAGCTTTAACTTGATCCACCTCTGTCCTGTTGGTGTTGCTGTAAGATGGTGTTTACAACACCCAAAATCAAAGGCTTTGGCAAAGCCTATTGTGTAGGTAGCTATTTGTATGTAGTAAGATAGATTTTTTTAAGCTAGTCAAACATATATTTTATCTATGCAAAATATTCACGTCGAAGTAAGTCAGTATTTCTTAAAATAAGTGCATATTTAGTTGAATTGAGCAGGTAAGTGAGACACTTGACACTATTGCCAATGGAATAAGAATAAGACAATTTACATTTAAAATGATTAAAAAAACTGCGGTCTTTTATTACAAGTGCATAATATTAGTCAGATTATCTTGTTTACCAACTCATAATAACATTAAATAGACTTATTTTAAGAAGGTTCTACTCATTTTAGATAATTTTTGCATTGTAGAAGCTGATGTTTGCAGCTGCTCCCATCATCAGATGAAGGTGTGTTAAACATTATTATTCATTATGTTTAACACACACTCTTCACTTTGCATTATTCTCCATGTTTTACCTACAAATATGGAGCCTAAATTTGAAGTGTTTTCCAAAAACTATATGTTCGCTCTGCAGAGGAAATTTAGAGATTAAACATCCGCTTCTTAAACAGGATTAAAAGCACTGCTGGGGATGTATCACAAATTAGGTTGAAGACAATTAGTAATACAGTTATGTTTTATGATTACTAAGAATTAACCAGTATAACACATCCCTGTCCTTCCATCCCTAAATGCAATCCTAACCTAAAAGGGAAAATTTCCAATAAACATGATGGGATCAAAATAATGCTAAAATAAGAATCTGCTTGCATTTTATAAGCACAAAACCCCAAATTAATTATATTTTCAAGCCTTCTCTTTGTCCATAACTTCAAGCCATCCTTACAGACTTTAAAGGACGAAGCTGTAGCTAAGCCAGGATAAATCTATCAGTAAGATGAACAATTTAAAGTTCCTACTTTCTTGTGATCAATATTTTTGCTCCATAAAAGACTAAGTACCAAAAAATCCAAGTAGTTCTAAAGGATTGTTAAAGATTGATCTCTAAAGCTAATGTGATGATATTTTAATACAGTAGCAGTATTTTTTTAACCTAGCCTCTCTTGGAAATGGCTGCTAACTTTAGCCTCTAACCAAATGTAATGGGATTTATGCAGCCTCCTAACAGAACCCCACCTCAACAATCCTGAAGCAAGACCATTAACGGACATTTATGTTACTTCATACAACAATAATAAGACTTTTTTTAAAATCGGCATCTGGAAAGTTTTTGATGTGAACAAATCAGTGGAGTTCTCCTTTTGGTGAGGACAAAGATTCGTAGAGAAACTGAGCAGGATCTTTGTCATTTTTATGACTCTGTTGGCTCAAATCAAAGGCATGGGTTGGTGTCCTTCAGCAAATCCTGGTTTTACATTTCGCAATCCGTTCAATCAGAGAGAGAAAGAAACAGAGAGAGGAGGCTCTGCTGAGGATAAATGACATTCAGAGGGTTTATTTTTGGCAGATTTTAGCCTCGTGAAAACATGTAATAGGCCGATGTGTGGGTGGAAGTAGTCGCTGTCGCTGACATTTAGAGATACAAAGAAACTACAAGGTGAGCTGGAATATGGCTGTGAATGTCTGTTTTATTTTTTTCATTCATTTTTTTTTTTTGCAAGCAAAGGTGACTGATTTATCAGCCTTTATGACTAAAATAATACTTAGACGTTATAAATGCTTGGCGGTGACTTTAATGGCTTAATTCTTTTAAAAAACAAATAAGAGCTCTGGTTCTAGCAGATTTACAACTAATGCTAAATCAAGACACTTTCATTAGGCAAGTATGTAGAAAAACAAGATTACACACTTCCATCAGGAATGGGAATTTATGAGTCCGTCAAGAAAATATCTCAGTGATTTACAAAAAGATGCGATCATAAGTTTCCCATTCCTTGGATCTGGATAGTGCCCTTGGTGCTCTTGTAGTTTTCTGATATTGACAGCGCACAGATTGGTGGTGTAGGTATTGCTCACAATCTTAGAGCCCATTTAGTGGGAGTGTCACTCCGCCCAGACAGACACATTAGCGCTTTCACACACATACATGTAGACGTGAACAGAAGACACAGCAGTGTTAACAGAGGGGTTGCTCTCAATCTATGGAAACGTAAGCTGCTATTGCCTTATTGAATTTAGTGTTATATGTAGCACTGAGGGTCTGCCTATGAAACATTTTGCCTTGCAAAATTATTTATAGTACTTGAAATTGTTCAAAATCTATGAATGAAAATTATAAAGAACAACTGCAAACTTACACAGCCATGGTTTTCCACCTAAACCTAGACTTGTGGAGAAAAATAGGAAATTAATAAAATCTAGAGGAGCTACAGAGAGTCACAGCTCAGGTGGGAGAATCCCACTGCAGGACAGTTTTAAAAGACATCTATAAGAAACATGCTTGTAGTTCATCTTAAATCATGTAGGGGGCACTGCAAACATGTGGAAGAAAGCCTCGTGGTTCATTGAGGCAGTACATCACCTGTCAAATATGGTAATGGCAGCAAGGTGCTGTGGG